ATGAATCTCTATATAATTCTAATTAGTACGTTATAGTTGATTTGTCATTTGATAAAAATACTTGCTCGAATGAACGTAAATTTGTTTTTTAAGATAAATTTCAATATTTATTCGTAATGATTGTTCGTTCAAAAGAATAAAGATAACTTTGAAATAATAAACGAATTGGAAAACTTACGATTTTTTTTCAAGGATGATTCAATATATATGGATTAATTGCAGTTATATAATAACATAATCGACAATTTTTATTCAGCAGAAAAGCATTTACACAAATATCAAATGTAAATTAATATAAATAAAGATAATTAAATTAACTAATAAAAACAAAACTCTTTATAGATAAATATTCTTTTTTTGTTTAGAAAATCTTCTTCAAATTCCATGAAAAGAAGAGCATCAAATTGAACTTGCCTTATTAACTACCGGAAATTTACATGAACCTGAAAGAGATTATTTACAAGGAAATAAACCTCTTCATGCGATTATCTTACATTTAAATGAATATAATTGGCATCGGTTTCTCTTTTTTCCAACATATTTATATATATATATATAATATAAATATTTAGAATCGATAGAAATATAAATCATTTTAAATTGAAAATCTCAGAAGTAAAAAAACCAATCTTTTCTCATTAAATTGACTTTTAAGAACAATGTTCCTTTATTGATTAATTGAAAATATGTTTCTTTAATATCTAACCGATAAAAGGAAATAATTGAAATCTTTCAAGAATTTCTATGATCTTCTTTTTATTAAATTTGCATTTCATTTCCCGGAAGCTCAGAAATAATTTTTATGCTATTTAGAATAAATTCGATTGATTTTCCTTTCGAGTTTATCATAAATCGATAACTTATTTCATATAGATATTTCATTTCAATGTTGCTTTTTTAAAAAGAAATTCGACTTACGAATATTTATCTAATTCAACAAAATAAACACTATTTAGAAATTGTTCTAGTTTATAGACTAACATATATATTATAATCTATGAAATATGTCAGTATATCTTTAGTTTTATTTCATATACATATATATATATAATTATTTTTTCGACTGATATTCATTCGGATAGAATTAATGGCAAATTAACTAAAGAATTTGTTCAAAACAATACTTTAAGAATAATTGAATAAATAATGTTTATTTTAATTTAAACATCTTATGGTTTTCAATAAAAACATATAATAGAGAATATTCAATCTTATCTTCTTATGTATTTTTTTTTCAACAAAGAAAAAAAAAGTGAAACGTGATAATTCCTGCAATGATTTTCATTTTTATCAAATAAAAAACATTATTTTCTAAACAATCTAAATCAAGTATTTAATATTCAATTCATGTCAAAACATGTCTTTATAATATTCCCTTTCATAAACAATTCAATTTACAGAACTATCATTTGTGTCTTTCAACCTTGGAAACTTTTTATGAAAATCTCCGAGTTTAATCAGTGCATATAATGGATACTTCTCATTGGATAGTATTATAAATTGTCCTTGGTCGCTTCAGTTATTTTTATAAGAAATATTAAACATATGACAATGAATGTTAGTTCTTTGAAGTGCAATGTTTAGAATTTTTTTGTTTTTATTGTCCAATACAAGTATACAGAGACATTTTGGTGAGTACTTGTACAGAAAAATCTACATCGAATTGATTTTATGATGATTCGATATGAAAGAATGGTTTTGTTAGTTTTGAACAACTGAAATTGTCTCGAATTATAGTCAATTTATACCATGTGAATCTTCATAGATGTTGACCTAATACAAACTTGAGTGAATAACTATTCTACATTTGATTTAAAGAATTCGTTGTTGAGAGTAGATCATATTTCGTTATAATGAGCAGAGAACCGCACTCGTATTGAAGACATTTATCCTTGAAATCCGGATAAGATAAATAATATTTGTTAAAAGTAAAACGGATTATCACAAGATAAATTTCTAATTGATAATAGAATAATAAATCTGTTTGTTTTGACATAATCTGAAGATTCATATTAATTATCTGACACGTTTACTATTCATGAATTTGATTTAATAATCTTCTACTTAACATGAGATCTTCTTTTTTTAGCGTTGTTCAAACACTTGATTCTATGATATTCCGATGAAAATTTCAATATTGATCTAGATGTCAGTATTGATTTTCTAAACCAATGAAAAAAATTGTTTTTTTCTCAGTTGGTTCCGTTCTGCTTTTTTTTCTTGTTGCTGGTTATATGATTGATGAAGAACGGTTTTTTTTTAGTTTTCTCCGATTGAGAGTATTGCATTTTTATAAGATTATTATCAAACACATCATTCGATCGATCTTTTCTTTCTTTGTGTCAACACAAGTAGTTTTTAAGTATACGATGACGACGTGGCCGAACGGTTTTTTTTTGTTTCCATGTAAGTTACCTCCCATGAGTAAGCCAACGAAAAGGCGGATCGAACACTCGTTTATCTTTGATTGCTTAGGATGCTGAACTAAGAAAACAAATGTCAAGTAACGTAGTTCTTCCTTTCTATAGTTGATGTGTCCGTTGTGTATGTACTCGTCTCATTTTGGTTAGCCTCCGGGATTTTCTTTAGCTAGCATCGCTCGTTCACATGCATCCTTCTCTCTTTTTGTTTCGTCATCGTATTTGTCGTCTTCTATCTCTCGTTGTATATATGTGCATGTAAACATCAAATGTCTTTTAAGACAAAAAAAAAAAAGAAGACGAAGAAAGGGAGCAAGCGAGAGGAAAAAATATTCTTCGGGGAAGAGAGAGTTTGAATAGTGACCTGGAACTGTTGATATGCAAGAAAGTGAGCAATGTCTATTTTTTGATTAGTATACATAGGAGCAAAAAACATTTATTCAGTGAGCATATTTATAGTGTATTTAGTTAATGAGAAAGTATAGACATTATTCAAGATCATGTTTAAAACTATTTATGAAAAACAAATAGTATTGGTCGATTTCAGAATAAACCTGTTCATAACATTGTTAGTTAATAAACAAAAGAAAAAAGAACTACGCTTTCGTTTTTTTTTGTTTTCCTATTTCTTCATCGTATTATCGTTTTCTTTTTTTCTTCTCCAAGTAAAAGAAAAAAAAGCATTCTACTAATAAATTAGAATTGTCTACATTTTCCTAATTAGATGCGTGTGTGTGTAAAAAATGATATTAAAAAAAGAAATGATTTCTAGGCGATGATTAGCCTGTAAGAATATTTATTTATCTTATTGTCGTTATGTATAGATGAAGGTCGATGACATTCATCATTGGAATAGATTCAATGAAATGTAACTATAGATGAAATAGTGACATTAATTTTTAATAAAATGATCATCATCCTTTCCTATAGATAAATAAGAATAAAAAAAAAAGAAAAAAGAAAAAATCTATTCGGTTTTTTAACATATCGATTATTCTCGAAAATATTCTTCATTGTCTTCATGTGAATATTTCATGTTGTTAATCGTTTGCATCTCATCAATTATCTTTGAATTGAAGAAGATTTGCATCTAATCGATTATGAATATTCGTCATTCTTCTTCTTCTTCTTCTTGTATCGTTTTTTATTTTCTCTTCAGTTCATCATTTGTAATGTCTATGTCGAGAACTATATTATTAGAAATAGTTTCTTCGTCAAATTTTTCCTCATAAATAGTTCCTTTATTTTTTTTTTGTCATCATTCACATTGATGAGATGATCATCGAGATTTTGTTGACAGTCGCGCTTCGATTTGTCCTTGATGGATTCAACTAGAATGGAACTATAACAATATAAAACTGACTACGACAATCAGCATGATGGAGGTAACTTCCATTCTAGTTATATATATATATATAGTTTTTTTTTCAGTTCTTTTTGCGTTTGGATTGATGTGATGTCAGTAACTAATTCCCTACTCCCTTTAGTCTGTCTCTCTCTGTCACTCTCTCATATATTCTTCTGTTAGAAAGCATCGTTTGCCAACGACAAAAGAAAAAAAAAAGGAAAAAGGAGGAAAAAAAAACTGATGAAGAGAAGGCAGTTTATGCGTGTGAATGGTCGTGCGCGAGTACGTCGAATGCTGCATGTTGCTTTTCCTATTCTTCTGTTAGATGTTGTTTCAACCACATTTAATGAAAAAAAAAGAAAAGAATGAAAATGATATGATGATGAGAAAAATCTCTCGATGAGATTATCAAATAAATAAATAAATAAATAAATAAATCAACAATGACTCTTTTTTTTCTCCTATAATCGATTATTTTAATGGTAAGTTCAATTCTCTCTCTCTCTCTCTCTTATACTATTCTTTAATTAACGATTTTTTTTTTCTATTTTATACTTATCAAATTGAGAAAACGAATAGCAATGCAAACATCTATAGATGAAGATTTTTTTTTTTGTTTTTGGTGATATTTTCATAAATGTTGGTTTGTTCATGGGTTAACGTCATCTAATTTAATTATTCTCTAGAGAGACAATAGAAGAGAAATGAGGAAAATACATATAGAGGCATATATGCATTCATCAATCAGTAATAAGAGCAAAAACCATCCTAGGAATAATAGTGATCGCCAATGGCATAATACATTATATGATAAGAAATGAAGAGTGAGAACAATTTCAATTAGTTGTATCAACAAGAAGTTCGAGGTAACAGTTAACTATTATTCACATTCTATATTATTCATCGCATCATCAAATACAATCAATAACAAGTGACGTTTTTCTCTTTTTTTTTTATGTAAATCATGTGTAGAGTTTGATAAGTACTAACATAGACGATGATTTATATTTTAATTGAACAAAAGCTTTGATGTATACAAATATATATACGCTTTGACAATTCTATTATTCAACTTTCATCTATATACAATTTTTCTAGAAAAAAAAAAAACGATGATTTTTTTATATATTTATATAATTAATAATATACTGGTTTAATCAATGAAAATAAAAGTGAGATATTTATTAGTATAAATAAGATTGTCGAATATTTGATAATGAATACAATAAATAATGCTGCATGATTCGAGTGATGACGACGAGAATGGTGGAGCTGATATTGGACAACGAACGGTAAATAGAATATATTTCTACGATAGAAATTTATTTATTTAATTATTTTAAAAAAAAAATCAAAAAAAGGTCTCTCAAAATCGTCCAGTAGCTCCATTAAATCGATCAGGAATAAATAATAAATCTGTTAATGCAAATATTGTATCACCACTAACATCAACAAAAAGTGAACATTCGTCATCAATATCAAAAAATTCTTCAAGTAATTATTATTCTCCTCAAATAAATCCACATCCATCATCAACATCATCATCAACACCAACACCAACACATCGTCAATTACCAAAACTTCCAACAAATTCCAATAGAATTTCTCCATCATTATCAATAGGTTCATCAACAAATACAAATAATTTATATGATATTCCTCAACCATCAACTATTATTCAAACTGATTCAACAAGTCTTAAAAGTGATGATTCATCAAATATATCTGATGGACATTTACATCCATCTCAACAACATCAACAACAACAACAATCTTCAATATATAATCAAGATAATAAAAAAGTTAATCAACAAGAAAGTAATATAAATAATAAAATAAAATTCTTCTTAAAAATGTGTTAATATAATGATTAGATATATCGCGAAGTGTTGGAGGTATATCAATAGATCGTGTTCCATCTCCATCAACATCATTAATAAGTGATAATGAACGTGAAGAAACTGAACGTGTTGAACGTGAATTAGAATTAAAACGTAAACGTTTACAAATATATGTATTTGTATGTCGTTGTATATCATGTCCATTTAATTCCAAACAATCGTCAGATATGGCAAGAAAATATTTAAAAATAAATCTTTCTCAATATAATCTTACTAAAGAAAGATTTTTAGCTTTTTTAAATGGAAAAACTCATATTGAAGCTGATGAAGGTTATTTTGAGAATATTTTCTTTTTTATTTTATTTTATTTATTTAAATAATAGCTTTTATAAATGCTGTTCGATCATATTATGAAGTATTTCTTAAAAGTGAACGTGTTGGTAAATTAGTTCAATCAGGTGGTTCTTGTTCAGATGATTTTCGTGATGTTTTTCGTATAAATATTGAAAAACGTGTACGAAGTTTACCTGATATTGATTCACTTAAAATAAGCAAAGATACTGTTCTGGCATTATGGATGTCGAAATTTGATGCCATTTATAGAGGTCAAGATCAAGATCAAGATAATGCAAATAGTAGAATATCAAAATCTAGTTATATGTCAACATCAGCCGAATTAATTATGTCCAAAGAACAATTATATGATATGTTTCAAAATATATTATCGATTAAAAAATTTGAACATCAGTAAGTTTGTTTTTTTTTTAACTTATTTTCATTTATCAAACTTTTATTTATTAATATTTATTTTAGAATGATTTTTAATAGTGCTCAAGTAAGATCAGAACATATATATATATATATATTATTGAACTAATTTGTTTATTTTAAGCTTGATAATAATGATGAACAAGCTGCAACAATTCGACGTGAACTTGATGGTCGAATGAAACAAGCTGAATCTTTACAACGAGTAACATTGCAAAAAAAAATTCATTTACAAACAAAACAATAAAATCTCGTTCTTTTTTTTTTAGCAACGTGGTTTAATGCCAAAATTTATACATAAAGAAATGGATTCATTATATGTTGATGAATTAAAAAAAAGTATAAATGATTTAATGAGTAATCTTGAAAGTTTACCTGTACGTGGAGGATCGGAACAAAAATTTTTAAGATCAAAACGTAGTAATAGTCATAATCGTCATGGAAGTTCATCAGGAAGTTCATCTTTACTTTATTCATCAAATAAATCATTATATAATGAATCAAATTTTGAAGATAATGATGCTGGTTTATCAAAATTAGCATTTGTTTTAAATTTTAATGTTAATATAACATGTAAAGAAGTACGTGGTTTAAAATCAATTCCAACAAATCGTATTGTTTATTGTACAATGGAAGTTGAAGGAGGAGAAAAATATCGAACTGAACATGCTGAAGCTGGAAAACCTGTTTGGGAATCTTTAGCTGAATTTCCAACAAATCAAATTTTACCTATTGTTAAAGTTAAACTTTTTATGGAAAATCCTGGTTTACTTAGTTTAGATGATAATAAACTTGGAAAATTATCTTTACAAATTGATCCGACTTTTAATAAAACAAATTGGTGGATTGATATGATTAAATGTAAATATACATCAAATGAACAATTAAAAGTTAAATTAGATGTTAGAATGGAAAAACCACAAAATCTTAAAATGTGTGGGTATGTTTACATTTCATACTATATTTTTAACAATTTTTATCAACTTTTTTTTTTCTTTTCTTTTCTTTTATTATTCAAAGATGGTGCTATGCTAGAGGAAAAAATGTATGGAAAACATGGAAACGACGATATTATGCACTTGTTCAGGTTAATTATTCTTAGATTTTATATTTATTCAAATAAACAAAATAGAAAAACGATAATTAACTAAGTGTCAATAGTCATCTTTATTTATATATTGAATAAATATTCAATATGAAATATTGATTAAGTAGACAATAGAAAAAAAAAACGTGTGATTATAGGAATTTGGTTTTTATGTAGAAGAAAAGGATTAGTTTGACATTGAAGAATATTTGTTTGAAATCTCAAGTGTTTACTATTGAAATTATATATAGAATAATGAATTTATCATCGAGGGTATTGAATGTAAATATTAACTTTGTTGAATTTATTCTAGAGAGATAATAGAAATGAATTTATTAATAAGATAATAGTTCGAGTTAGATTTTTCATTTATGTATATATATATATCAAAGAAAATAATTTATCATTGATTTAACAAATAGAAATTAATTATATGTTTATTAAATAAATGACAAATACAAAATGATTTTCAGGTATCTCAATATTGTTTTGCAACATGTAGTTATCGTGAAAGAAAATCCGAACCAACTGAAATGATGCCACTTGAAGGTTACACTGTTGATTATGCTGAACCTGATAATGGTAAAACAAATTAAATAAATAAAAATAAATAAATAAATAAATATTCGACTATTAAAAGGTTTAATAATGCATGATGGAAAATATTTTTTTAAAGCTGTACGTGAAGGTGATGTTGTTACATTTGCAACAAATGAAGAAAATGAACGACATAGTTGGGTACAAGCATTATATCGTGCTACTGGTCAATCACATAAACCAACACCACCAACAACACAAATTAATAAATCAAATTCAACATCAGGACAAAAAGATCTTTTAGGTTAATAATAAAATCAATTTTTATATCTAATATTTATCTTTTATTTATTTAGATTCTGATCGTTCAAAAAATCTTGGTTTTGATGAATATATACAAAGTGATCCATGTAAATTTGATCATCATGATTTATTTAAAGCATTACAAACGGCAACATTAGATTTTCGACTTAATGATCCATACTGTTCTTTGGTAAATATTAACAATAAAAAAAAAACACACCATTTTTTTTTTTTCATTATCTTAAACTGATTTATTTTTCTATCGAAAAAAAAAAAGAAAAGATAAATATTAGAAGTAAGTTGAAAGAGCTTTTCTTTTTTTCTTTTTTTAAATAAATGATTAAACTTGGGTGACTGGATAAAAAATGATTTGGTTTGTGTAATTAAACTATTTATTATTTATTAGGGTTGGTTAAGTCCAGGACAAAGTTATGTACTTGAAGGTATTATTTTTTATTTAAATAAAAAAAACAAATTTCAATATAATATATTTATTAAATAGAATATTGTTCTCGATATGGTGTTCGTGGTTGTTTAAGACATCTTTATTATTTAAATGATTTACTTGATAGAGCTGAACAAGGATTTATGATTGATCCTCAATTACTTCATTATAGTTATGTTTTTTGTACATCTCATGTATCTGGAAATCGGTTAGATTATTTTTAAATATTTTTTTTAAATAAATTAATTTTACTTTTTATTTAGACCTGATAATAATGTTTCAACAATAACTATGGAAGAAAGAGATCGATTTAGTGAAATAAAAGAACGATTAAAACAATTTCTTGAAAATCAAGTTACTAATTTTAGGTAAGAATATTTTATTAATCAATTATAGAGACAAACATTTTTTTATTTATTATTATTATTATATTTTTAATAAACTTAGATAAATAAAGTATCATAGAAGATATTTTATAATTATTTATTTACTTAGTTAATTGATAATCGATAAAACTAGATTGATTATGTCTTTATTTCATTTAATAATCTTTATTTATTTATTTATTTATTTATTAAGATTTTCATTTCCATTTGGTCGACCCGAAGGTGCATTAAAAGCAACATTAAGTTTACTTGAACGTGTTCTTTCAAAAGATATCGCAACACCAATATCTCGTGATGATATACGAAATTTTATTCGGAAATGTCTTGAAAATGCTGCATATACAAATTATACACGAGTTTCAGATCAAGCCAAAATTGAAGGTTATTTTATTTTACTTTTATATTGATCAACTCTATTAGATAAAACAAATAAGATCAATCTCTACAGATTTTGATTTTTAAAAAAAATTCTTATTAAAATATCTGAAATAGTTAATTAAACAATAATCAATGAGATTTATCTAAAGAATTCAATGTTTTATTTATAATGATAAGAGAGAAGTGTTACATCTATGATAACATGTTATTGATCTTCCCATAGAGTTAGTCTATATTATCTATCTTATTTACAAAGAATAAATTATTTAGATTGTTCGAATATTCTAATCGTCTCTCTTAACAGAGAATATATTTATGTCGATGAATTATTTTCAACAATTAATAATCATTCGATTCACCATGAATGAACATTAACAATGAATAAAGATGAGTTTATTGTTAATGTTAATATACCGATAACTAATTTTATCACAATTATATCATATAGAGATTTCCTTTTTTATAGAAAAATCTTTCGAGATAATCACAATTAAAATGGGTTTTTTTTTCAATAATCAATATAGGAACTTATTGGTTTTATTAGAAAAGAGTTCGAAGCGTTTCTATTCTACTATATTAAACGAAACATTGTTGAAATGAAAAAGTCAGATGATGATATATGAAAACGAAGAAATTGGTGAAATAAGTATTGGAATGTTGAAGAATAATTAATAAAATATATTTCTAAATAAGACTAACTAGATTATTTATTCTACATGTTTATTGTTAATATAAATATAATTATTTCAGGAGAACGAGAAATGCAGCAACAAAATGATAATGGTAATTTATTTGTTTCGTAGATATTTTTCTTTGTTAATAGATATTATTTATTTTTAAATTGTTTTTTTGCTTTCATTGTTAAATAATCTGCTTTTGTTTGTTTAGTCAGATTTAAATTATTGTTCTGTTCATCTTTTCTTCTCTAATTATTCATAGTTGATCGATTAGAGAAAAAAAGATTGTAATATAGATTCTATTTATAGTTTAATATGTAAAAGAAAAAAAATCTTTTTTTTTTATTTAAAATGATAAAATGAAAAAAAAAAGGAAAATTATTTAGAAATGGTTTATAATCGTGATGATTCTCCAAGAAAAAAAATCGATGATCTAATACATTTAGCTGAATTATGTATTGAATTATTACAACAAGATAGTGAACATTATCAAGAAGCATTTAAACAATATAATGATTTATTAATTGAACATGAAGAAATTTTTTGGTCTTTATTTGCTGTTGATATGGAACATGTTATTGATCAACAACCTATTGAAAGTTGGGATTCATTTCCATTATTTCAATTATTAAATGATTATCTTCGTCAACATGGTATTTCAATTTTTATTTAAATAAATTTATTTATTTATTTATTTATTATTTAGATACATTATCAAATGGTCGATTTCATCAACAATTACGTGATACATTTGCTCCATTAGTTATTCGATATGTTGATCTTATGGAGTCATGTATTGCACAATCAATTCATAAAGGTTTTGAAAAAGAAAATTGGAAATCAAAAACGTATGAATTTTTTTTTTATTTTATTATTTATCAATTTTATTTTTATTTTTTTGTTTAGTCGAGGATGTGCAACAAGTGAAGATATGCTATGGAAATTAGATGCTTTACAATGTTTTATACGTGATTTACATTGGGTATCAAACTTGTTTCTTTTTTTTTTATTTAATTTTAATATTTATAATTATTAAATAAGAAAATGTCTGTGTTTTTTTTTTGTAGCCGGATGCTATTTTTGCTGAACATTTAGAAAAAAGACTTAAACAAATGGCATCAGATATGATTGAAGCTTGTGGAAAAAGGTATTTGAGAATTAATTTAAATAGAATATTCAATCTTTATAGATTAATATTGAATAAATAATTATCATCAACATTTATTCAGAAACTTTTTTCAGTCAGGAAATCATTTATGATTCCTCTTTCAAAAAAAAACGTCATGTTTTCATCAGAATGATCGAAACTAAGATAAATACAGAGTAAGATATTCGAGTCAATCTCATCTCTAATAAACGATAAAAACTTTTATTTGTCACTCCTTTATTTTGAAAAAAATTTTCAAAATTTTCATCATTCTCTATTCGAAAATTCTCGCAGGAAGCTTCATTCTAGCCAATAGATTTTTTTTGTTGGAAATAGCGTGTAAAAGTGCAATGTCTATGAGAGTCCGTTTGTTGAATGACGCTTTGTTATTTTTATATTGAAAAGCACTTTTATAATTGGAGTACCATTTTTTTTTGAGAGTTTTTCGAGTAATTGAATTTGTCAGTGCTTTTCTCCGCTTGAAAGATAAGAGTTTATAAAAAAAAAAGGGCTCTCATAGGCACTGCAGCATTCTAACATGCTATTTCAAACAAAAAAAAATGATTAAATATATAGAATGAAGACTGCAGAGAATTTTTCTAGACGAAATTAATTATTTTCTGAGCCTTATTTAGTGAATATCTCCCTTACATGACATACTACACAAATGAAAATTTAACCATGTCATGCTATTTCAGTCTCCCTTGTCTTAGATCGATTTTTGAGGTTAGAACCTTAAATAAATAAATTTATTTATAATAATAATATTATCAATTATACTTTATTGAACATATTAATATAGAATATAATCATGTTGAATCTCTCTTAGTTGTTCATATGATTATATTATTGACTAACTTGACTTATTTAATAAGATAAATATCTTATTATCTATTATAGAAATTAATTTTAATTTAAATAATATTATCTTTTATATTTTAATATTGAAATAATCATATCAATCTCTTCTATTCATCACTTTTCTACAAATACAAATCTCCTTCGAATAGGAAAATGAACACTTTTTAGACAAATCTATATGTCCTAGAATGTGAAGAGATAGAAAAAAAACGAATATTTTTCACCAAAAGTTTATTAGTCTGAAAAATGGTCATATGAACATCTAAAGAGATTTGTCGTATTGATATTTTGTATGAAGATGATCGGTAATTGATAATATTCTAGTTAATGTAGAAAAAGCAGACGATTGATAAATTGAAAGAATATCCAATAATTGTATAGAAGCCCAGGTGAAGACGAACGGAGCAAAAGTGCATTCGTGTATTTTGAATGCGTTTTTGCTGGGTTTGCCTCGACCTGTATATCTAACTAATATTTAATATTTATGAAGAAAGTTAAAAGAAAAAATTGATTTTCGTAAAATAAAATGAATATTTAAATTTATATATTTCAATATAATTAATTAAAAAGAGAAAAAAAAAAGACGTGAAATAAATAGTTAATTATTTTAGAGTATGTCGTCATTTTGAAAATTGGATAAAAAAAGGTGGTCTTATTGGTGGTACTAGTTCAGATTATTTATTACCATCTGAATGTTGTGTTATGGTTAATGTTATACTCGATTGTAAAGCTCAAGTAAATTATTTTTAAAAAGAAAATTCAATTTTGAATTATTTTTGTTTTATTGATATTAGGCATTAAAATTATGTGCCTTGCATAGTGGTGATCTTCATCAATATCATACACGTATTGATGAATATTTAGAAAAAATTTTAAGTGATATGTCAAAATCCTTAATACAAAAATTAGTTAGTGTACTTGATTCGGTTTTTAAAAAATTATCACGTTATGATGAAGGATCTTTTTTTGCTCAAATACTTTCATTAACAGTAAAAAAAACAAATTATTTTAATAAAATATAATTATTTTGTTAATATATAGAAACCAATAAATGAAGATGGTCAATCATATGTATCATGTGTAAATGCTAATTTAGAACAATTACGTCAAAGAATAAGTGATGAAATATTTACATTAAATATTTTTGAAGTAAAAATATTTATTTTATTTATTTATTTATTTATTATAAATAAAATTTTCTAATAGGAATGGTATAGACAACAAACTCATTTTATATTTATATGGCTTGGAGAAAGAGCAGAAATAAGTCTTCATCCATATCAATTAGCTTGTTTATTATTAATTCTTAAAGTATTATTTTACATTTTGTTTTTTAAACAAAACAATTAAATCAACAAACAATTTTTTATTTTCTCATTTATTTTAATTATAGAAAACTCATGGAAGTTTTGAATTACAAGGTGTTCAAGATAAAGATCTTAATTCTCAAGCATATTCAAGTATTATGCAAAGATTACACGTAAGATATTAACTAATTTATGTGCTTTTGTCTATATATATATATGTTGTGTCTTTATCAATATTGATTCATTTTTATTTTCATTGGTATGAGAACAAAAAAAAAAACCAGTTCAAAGAATCTTCTAATTTATTTTGATATTATTTATTTTTAGTTTGAAGAAACAGCAAATGCCGTTAAATAAAAATCAATAATTTGTTTGAAAGTCTTTAGGTCAATATTCTTAATAATAATATCTTCAATCAACTGCTCTTTTGTGTATGTCTCTTTGTTTATTGTTATTCTATATTTTCCTTCTATGTCTTATGTTGATCCGGTGTATCTTACAATGATGTTTTTAGTCTAAAAAGGTGTTAAAACAAATTTGTTTTTTATGTAAAAACTATTGCAATGAGAATATTGAAAAATTTGTGCAATTATCATTCTATATTTATGTTTTATTGGGAAAGTGATCCTATTTGTATAGTTCATCTTTTAAAATAATTCAAATGAGAATATTGTTTTTCTTATTGTCTAACCTTATTTTCATCTTGTTTATAGAAATCTGTTATCATTTCTATTCCATGACCTAGATTTTCAACTTTTTTTTTTTCTTTAAATCAAGAAAAAACAAAAGTATTGCCTATGCAAAATAAAATTCAGAACAAATATCTTTATTTTCATATTTATTTATGCGCTTATTTTAAATATATAATAGAATTTCAAATTATATTAATAGACAATTCATTTATTACTGCTTTTTTAAAAGATCAATTCTTTTAACAACAATATTTTTTATCAAAAAGAATATAACAATCAATCAATCATTTATTTATTTATAAATTAACATTTTTCTATAAATAGAAGAAAAAAAAAGAAGATTCTGTATTGAAATATCTAATAAGAAAATAAAAGGATAAACAACATAATAGACAATTATTCAATAAATTAATATATTACCTAGACTCAAGGGTTACCCTCTACAAACCGTTATTCACCTCTGTCTCTCTCTCTCTCTGTAACAAGTGATTGCCACAATCGACCATTTCTGTGGCACAAGTGACCATTTCTTTGGCGCAAATAACCATTTCTACTTCATAGATAACCATTTTTATAGCACAGATGATCACTTTTTTGGCACAAGTGACCATTTTTGTGGCACAGATGAGCATTTCCATAGCACACAACGACCATTTTTATAGCACAAATGAGGATTTCCATGGTAGAAATGACCATTTCTATTCCACAAACGATTATTTTAATGGCATAAATGAGCATTTCCATGGTAGAAATGACTGTAAAAATACAATCATCTGCTTGTCATCATTCCGTTAGTCTAGGAGGCAGTGAATCGACCTTCGATATCGATGAACATTAGTTGTGAATAGTTATTAGAAATAATTTAACTTTAAAAATTCTATATTGATATTCTATCAATAATTATTATTAGATTGAATATCTAATAGAATAAAAGAAAAAAGACTATTCGAAAGAATAATCAACAGATTTAATTGAAGAAAATAAATAAATAATTATATTTATTCAATGAGCATATAATAAAACTTCTTTTTTTCTCTAGACAAACAAATTTCCATTGATTAATAAAAACAAAAAAAAATAATTCTGAGATAAACTTCATCAAATATAATATCTATCATTAACGTTCATGCGCCGACTTGTTAATCATCTTGAAAAAATTTCATGAATATATTTAATACGAAGATTATTGATTTAATACCAGTTTTAAACATATTTCAGTGAAAATTTTTATTTATTGAACAAAGACAATCTCGATCTTTCGACTTCTTTTAGAGTCATTATCAAGACAGAAATAAGAACATCAGAATTAGAAAGTAGATATATATGTATATGTTGTGGTCCAAATTGAAATTTTAATTTCGTCTAAGCAAAATTGAAATTTTTGTTTGATGAACAGAAGAAATTTTAAAAAAAAGATAAAATTAACATACTAACTAATTTGTTTTCATTTTACAATAGTTTTAAACCAATATCTTATCAATTCTAAATTAATTTAGTCTATCCCAGATGAATCAATCCGATACAGAATCCGGCCAGCCAACAAAATCCTATAAGAATTCTGGTTACGAAATCACTAACGGATCTAACGGGCGAGTTCTATTCTATTAGTTGAGTACTAATTAGGATCTTATCCTAATAGTAGAAGTCGGTCAGAGTTGTACGCTGGGATTCAATCGGATTCCAATAGTATCATCCGATCAGATTCAACACTCAGAATCCGAATGTCATTCCGTAACCCAGATTCCCATAGGATTTCGTCGATCTTATAGAAATTTCAATATAATCTGATCGGATCCAACAGGAATTCGCTAGGATTCGATTGTCGGAATCATTTTCCTGGGATTTTTGAGCATCCACTCCTTTTTGAATAACATTTGGCAGAGCAGAAGAGATTTTTTTGATGGGCATATCTTCGCCTCACTTTTGTCTCGAAAATGAGAAGTATGTTCGGGTGTGAAACCACGAGAATAAAGCTTTCAAGCTTCGATAATGATAACTGCTTTTAGATTATTAACATTGATATATTTAAATTCATTGAAACAAGCAATTTTTAAATTCAGGAATGGTTTACCTACAAATGTATATTCTCAAGCCTCATATTGACAAATTAATTTTCATAAAAACATTATTTTTTTCAATTTTTCCAAAAATGACACATGGTTTCACAGTCGAACATAGTTGTCATTTTTGAGACAAATGTGTGGCAAAGACATGTTGATGAAAAAAACCTTTTCTGCTGTACTAAATGTCATTCAAAGAGTGAATGCTCAAGCATGAACAAAATTAATTTAGAATTGATAAGATATTTGCTTAAAATTATTGTAAAATAAAAAAAAATTGGTTAGTAAGTTAACTTTCTCTCTTTTTTTAAATTTCTTCTGTTCATCAAACAAAAGTTTCAATTTTGACCAGGCAAATTTTAAATTCAACTGAATTTTAATTTTGACCACAACATATTTATATATATTCGTTGAAGTACGTTATAGAATAATGAGACATGAGACCTATAATTGGCAATTAGTTATTTATCAGAACGTTCTGAGGGTGTAGGTGTGAAAATGTTAGAAGAGACGGTAATACGCGCAATTTCATTTTGTATTCATTCTTTAATTCCATTTCAATTTTTTTGTGTTTTTTTAATGTTCAACAAAATGTTTTTTGGTGTATGATTGTACATACAGAGTCCTGATGAAAGGTGTAGGTGTGGATGAGGCTTAACCGAAAGTAATCGAAGTCGAGGAATTTGAATCTACGATTATTTTTTCAAAATTTTGAACTTGACTTTTTTTGATAAAAGAAAGGATTTTCTAAGAAAATAACGGTTTTTTTTTCCAAGGCTTAACACTAATGACTTGTCGATGGAGAAGAATAGTCAGCTCCATTGAACTCATTTGCAGCGTCGGTGTCTTAGTCGATCATAGAAGTTTTTTCTCGACTTTAGTATTACGAAAAGTATGGAAATAACAAACGAACAGTGATCTTTTGTCAGAGAGAAGGGTTGCTATTTAGCGTCAAATTAAAATAGATGTTTGAAAATAAAAATAGGAATGTAGTTGCTAATGATGATGCAGTTAGTGCAGTCAATTGAAGCATATTTTTAATTAATTTAACTGTTGATATAAATGTTTCTCGTTTCGAACATGTTAACTGATCATCTTTTGATAATTAGCTTACAAATCAATTTTTGTATGAAGAAAATTCCAAATACTCAAACAATCTATGATATATTTATTCTAGAATAAGTTTTAAAAAAACCAATATTCTCTTAATTTAGTAAATCTCCTACTAGAATAGAACGCCACTCTATATTAGAGGACCACTCACGAGGAACGTTTCACAAGGTATAATATAAGTGGGTGAGTTTTCCGAAAGGTTTTTTCAGAAATTCTGAGGATTTTTCAAGTTTTAGAGCTTTTTTAGTAAAATGTGAAACACGATATACTTATTGTCACTAATCCCCTAGAAACAGCTCTTTTTTATGTATGCTGGGCATATTTTATTAGCATTGATAAATTTACCGAGTAGAACTTAATAAAGTAAATACTTTAATGAGATGTTAGTTATACATAACATCTGATAGTCTCTTCAAGGCGGCTATCAGCCGCTGTGACGATCCATGAAGGGTGCCTGTCAGAGTCTGTCTATCATGATGTGCGATAGTTCAGGCGCCTGTCTGTCACAGTTTGTGATAGTCTCTGAAGTTTGTCTGTCAGATCTATGATGGGCTCGGGCCGTGTCTGTGAGGAAAGGGGGGGGGGGGGGGTGCGTGGAAATTTCTACACTGTATATATATTTCAACACTCCTTTCAGATCGTATTTCACAAAATGAACGCATATTATGAGTCCATCTTGAAGAAGCGATGTCAATTTTCGTAATAGAAGGTGATGCCCTTTTTTGTTCTGCGAAGGTGAGTATACTAAAAACATCTAGATTTTATGATTCTCTCGTTACAACGGCTAAGGCTAAAATATATTTTCATGTTATGAAGCAAATGACTGCGTCTATGAGGAAGCATGGCGCAACAAGGTTTAAATCATATTGTTAATTTGTTACATGCATAACGAAAAATGCGATAAGATAGACTTGAACAATGTCTTTCCCGACTTTATTTCAAAAAAAGAAAAGAAAAGAAAAGATTTTTTTTCTGGATGATGAATAGTATTTACTAGTTCGACTTAATATATTCATTTTAGATTAAATTTAACCTTTTTTTTATTTACGCGCGCTGGACATTAACTAGAAAAATGAATACACCAGTAAACATTTTCATTTAGTTTTAACTCTTGAAACGAAGGAGCACAGATATATGTCTTCGATTGAGTGACAATTACTCAAATTGAAATTCGATCGTTTTTTATCTTGTCTCTCATCATCATCATCGAAGAAAAAAATCTTGAGTCTTCCCTAGATTAAAATCGTTCCACCACCTTTGAAAAATCGTCATAGTTTTCTAAATATTCGTTTGGAAATCTTCTATAAATTGTATGAAAAAGAAGGTTTGTTATATAGTTTGATGTACACCAGATGTGATAATCAACTGAGATAAACGATTTGACATAATGTGTTCCGCATTGACTTGTCTTCCATATTGAAATGCATAATAGTCATTATCCTATCCATATAATTATGCAAATATATTGATGAATAATTCAATAGATGATTATTTAAATATGAAATTCTAATAGATCAATTTTCGATATATGTATTCAATAATGAAGAAAAAAACGGATCTTTTTTTTTTCTTATGATAATAATAAAAGAGAATGTATTAGTGTTGTTGTCAAATTAGTGATAAAATAAAGTAAATAAAGACTAGAATTTTTCCGTCTAGCTGAAAACTCGAGTCATCTATCGTTCGATTGTTAGTAAAGGATTTTCCATAAATTAATCTGTTGTCAAAGCTACTGTTTATACAATGGGGAAATTCCATTTTATCTCTTATTTTTATTTAAATGACGCATTTCTTTTAGATGAAACGACCTATGAAAAATGAAGATTAATATCAGTGATTTATATATTATATTCAATCAATTTGATCTTGATTGATCGAATACAAATTAATTCTTAACTATAGATTAAATTATTTCGATGATTTTCATTTTTTGTTTTATTTTAGTAGTTTATCATATAAATATTTTCAAAAAAATGCATAAATCATATCAAGCAACAGTTCCAGTTTCTAATAGATTTCTTAAAAAGAAATGGGATGATAAATATTATTCGGATCATCTAATATCGGTAAACTAATTAGATTTCTATATATTTAAATTAATATATCGAAAATATTTGTTAGGTACGTCATGCTCAAGCACGTATTGATGCAACTCCTCCACAAACATATTTACATCTTCATATGAAATTTAAAAAACTTCAAGTTAAACATTCAGTTTTTTTTTTGCGTATATTCACTTTTTTTTCCTCCTTATTTAAGTTAGAAGAAGAACGTACAGCAACAATTGAACGTGATAATCGTATATTATTAGAAAAAATGGCACATATTATGCGTACAACTGGTTCTGTTGATAGTCATAATGATTATCAATTAAAAAGGTTATTATTATTAACAATTATATCATAGAAATTCTTTTTTTTTCTTTTATTTATTAGTCTTAATCAAGGAAAACGTCGACAAGATTTATTAAGAGTTTCAAAAGAAAATGGAAATATTATTAAAAGACTTATTGCACAAAAACTTGATACTAATAGAGATAATTGGAAAGATAATTGGTCAAAAAATACATTATATTTAAATAATATTGCCAAATATGATGCCGATTGGTATCTTTCAAAAGTAATCAAACAATACAAATCGGATTAAAAAAGTTCAAGAGATTTATTTTTTCATCGAAGATAAGTAACTAGGTCAAATCAAAATAGTGATTTGGAAAGCTCTTGAAATTCTCTATCAAATAGAATATATATCAAATTTTTAAAACAAACTTTATTAAGAGAGTTTTACAGAAAACTGTTGTCGGAGGATTTTTCAATATCATCATCCCAAAAGGCAGAAAATTAAGGGTTGTCCAGCTCTTTACGATATTCCTTCACAAAGTTCTAACCATTATTCGTCGATTTTTATCAAAAAAATCCCTAAAATTCGATTAAAATCGCATTTTTTCTAATAGTTAGAACTTTGTGAGGAAATATCTTTGAGAGTTGGTTGACCCTTGATTTTCTGCTCTTTGAGATACGCATATTAAAAAATTCTCCTGTCACAGTTTTCTGTAAAACTCTCTTGATAAGGTTTCTTTTAAAAATTTGCTAGATATTCTATAAAAAGCTATTCAAATGAGTATTTCGATTTGACCTATCTACTTATCTTTGATGAAAAAATTCAAAAATAAAACTATCTTAAACTTTTTCGGTCCACTTTAGTCCGAGATTAAAATCGATTTATCACTTGAGGATCTTTCTCTCTCGTAAACAAGAAAAATATAGTCTGTCACCAGTTATCTTTCTGATATTTTATTCATCGTTAAAAGTATCTAATATAGGAAAACAAAATATACTTTTCATATAGAAGACAGATAAATATTTGCATGTTTTCGTATAGGAACAATCCAAGAAAACAACCAAGAGACTATTTGAGAAAGTGTTTATTTCATAGATTTGAATGAAAACTTTCAAAAAATTCTTTCGAAATAAAATAAATGACATTTATTTTATAAGTATTATTTATAGAAATAATTAGTTCATCATCATAAAATATAATTAAATATAATTATCAGTGATGAGTTTGAGTTGTTTTTATATAATTATTCAAAATAGAATGTCACTCTTACTCTTTATCAATGCATAAAAATAATTCGGATTGATAAAATCTAATAAAATATATTTAATTTAGTAGTAAAAATATGATTATAGGTGAATAGATCTTGATTGAATAGCCCTATTAGGATATAAACTGTTGATGTCGGATATAATTCTATAATAACATATATCAATTAGTCTTTAATTTGTTATTGAAAATATTTTTCATTATGTTTTATATTTGAATGATGAATAGATTTCTATTGAGAGTTTTGTTGTTTTTATTTTTATTTTTTAGCCGAATGGTCATCAATTAAATAATGGAAAATATATGTCAAAACGTTGTCAAAGTATCCCACGAGAAGATAATAAACCAATAACAAATGTTGAGAATAAATATGAAAAAGAAAAAACAATGAAAGACAATAATGATTAAATATTTAATAGAATTTTTTTTTTTTTTTTTATTTCGAATGATTTATAACGGACATAGAAAACTATTGTCATATGATTAATTATATTTATTTATATATTTTAAAATAATCTTGATTAACCTCATATCAATATCTTATATATTATTATTTTATTCTTTCATTCAACTATTTCAATATAATAATATTTAATAAATAAATTATTTTTTAAATTCAAACCTAATTTAATTATATAATACATGTTAAACAGTCTTATATCAATATAATAATCGAGTTTTATTATTAATAGATATTTCCAAACAATTCTATTCATCTCAATAAATATTCAATAGAATAAAAAGACAAATTGAAATTTTCAAAAAACAAAAAAATATTTTCGATTATTTTTCATAGAATCCCAAGTGAAATCTGAAGAGTTTATATATGGATATAGGATATTGACTTTTTTTTAATCGAATCAATATCTATTCAATAACTGTTATATGAAATGAAAAAATAAATCGAAATCATTCTTTTATTTTTAATTTTATTCTATAAAAAAATATTTATATGATTATTTCATGATAAGAATTCAATATTTTAACTAGGATATATTATAGTGAAAAGAAGATATTTATAAATACTATAGTTAATATGTGTGATGTCAGTGACATCTAAAATAAAAAGAAAATATTATTCTTCAGATAAATAATCAAAACTATATTAAAAACAGATTTATCTGATAATTGTTTATTATTAATATAAATAGATAGGTATATTGGAATAAATAATATCTCTCAAATGATTATTTCAAAAGATGTCACTCGAACAAAATCAAAATATTTTGTTTTCTTGTTATTATTTATTATATAAATAATTGCTGTGTTTTTTTTTTCTAACATAATTCATTTGAGATATAATTCTTAGTGCGGTTAGTTTGATTTATTTTATTTTTTCAATCAATATAAAGTATTCTTAAATAGATTTTATTTAATATATTTATGTTAAATTTTCTTAGAAAAAAAAACCCCGAGAATGAATTCATCAACAGAACCACAAGCGTATGGGGCCGGTCGAGCTGGATCTGCATTTGATCCAATTGGTTTTATAAAGAAACCTCAGGTTATATTACGGGTTGTTGCTTGGGTATTGAATAAATCTAATTGAATCTATAATAATAATTGTTGTTATTAAAAAAGGTTTTATCAATAATCGTGTTTGCATGTATTGCCCAAGAAGGTTATGCTGATGATCAATGTCGTTATAATGGTTCAAATGCTTGTGGTTATGGAATTGGAATAGGTGTTATTGCATTTATTTTAACAATGGTTTTTACTGGACTTGATATTTATTTTCCAAATATATCAAATGTTAAAACACGTAAAACAGTTGTTTTATCTGAATTAGCTATATCAGGTTATTTTATATATTATTATTATTTATATTATTTATTTGTTTTTAATTAGGTTTTTTGGTATTCTTATGGTTTATTGGTTTCTGTTATATGACTGATCAATGGCGAAAAGAACCTGATAAAAATAAAGATGGATGGGATGGTCGTAATAGTGTTCAATCAGCTATTGCATTTTCTTTCTTTTCAATTTTTGTTTGGGTATTAATATATTTATTTATTTATTATATATAATTAATTTATCTTCTTAGGCTGGATTAACATTCTTTGCATTTCGTCGTTATCGTGAAGGTGTTTTAAATTTATTCAGTTCAAATTATGAAGATCATTCAACAGGCACTGGTCAAACATATGGTGGATATCCATCTAGTGGTGGTGTAGGTAGTTTTTCTCAAGCTCCATTTACGGCAACTCAACAAGTGCAATCAAATTATCAACCAACAACATATTAAATAAATATCCTTATATTTGTTTAGATATAGATATAAATCATCCGTGCGTTCTTTTTTTCTTTGTTTATCATCTATTCAATTATTTGATTTTGTCCTTTGCATTTTACACAAATTTACTTCTAGTCTCTGATAGTCTCGCATATATTTTAAATTCTCGTCATTGTTGTTTTTTCTCTTTAATATGATCTCTTATTTTAAAATGAAAAGAAAATAACCGGTTGAGTCTGTAAAAAAAAGAAACAAAAGTTGAAAGTCAAAAACACTCGGCATTTGTCAGATGAGTGTTAGAATGAAAAACTAATAAAGAAATACTCTTCCTTAATAATCCTTATTATTTTTCCTCTACTGTCTTACCAGCTCTATGTTGTTTTTTCTTGTTGTTGTATTTTATTTATTAAAAAAAAAAATCAAAAAAAAAAACATTCGTTGTGTGTGTTGTTCGTTTATCTTGATATTGATGTTGTCTGTTCGTCATGCATTTAGAAGAAATAAAAAAAAAAAAGATCTGCATTTCGATTTGTTTTATTTGTTTTGAAATATATATGACTAGATTGTTGAATATTGATAAATTCATAAAGAAATTTGCTCGTTAACTAGTGACCTCTTGATAAAATGACATAAAATTAAAACGAAAAGGTTATAAGAAATAATCAATCATATCAATTTCAATTTCTTTTTCTTTGAAATCAGGTGAATATTGTCTTTTGAGATAACTAATATATTAATTCTCATTTCTATACTCATTTGTTCTATTGTCAATTAATTTGTCATATTAACAAAAGCACAAGGTTTTTTTGTTCTAACCTTGTAGAACAAAAATCAAGGATTTCGATAAAGAAAATTTTTGTCATTTTATAAGAAAAATTCAATGTAAGTTATTTTAAATATAATATTAAAACTTGTTTATTTTTTGTTTCTATATTCTATTGATAAAATATGTAAAACTATCAAAAGCAAATAAGAAATATTTAAGAGAAGTTTAGATATTAAAAATAAATATGTTTTTCAATTAAATCGAAAGAAAAAAGTTGCCATTAATCGTACTCAACAAAACCGAAAAACAAAATTAGCTTATTGATTGTCACATTGATGAAAAGTAGTTCGTCTCTATCTTTTATTTTATATATTCGAATTCTAGATGAATCTAAGTTATTTTCGTTTTATTTAAATACAAAAATGTTTCATTTAGATATGTTGTATTTTGTTTTAGATTTGTAATATTATTTATTTCTAATGTGTTTAATTGAGAATTTTAATCGAATAACACAGGGATAATCTTCTAAATAATCTCTTAATATATACAAACAAGAATAATAATTATTTATTTTTTAAAAACATATATAATAAATATGAATTATTGTGATAATCTCTATGCTATTTATTGATATTATTTATTTGATAAGAATTTTTTTTTATCAATATATGAAAATCCTAATAATATTTTGTTTATTTTCTATGGTAGTTTGAAGTCATTTTTTTTTGAATATTTCTATTGTAAAGTGAGCTCTTTTTTCAAAATAGATTTTATTCGTTTGTATTTTTTTTTCTCGTATTTAGTTCGATGAGTTGATTAGTTTTTGAAATGAAAAAATTGGCTAAATATTATTTTTATTTAAATAATAATATTAATATAAAATGATTTAATGTGTTTATCTGATTAAAGAATATTTAAATTTAATCATATAAAACTTTCCTTCCTATTTTTATTTATTCTTTCAACAAATTATTTTTAGATAGTCAAACAAAAAAAAAAAAATTTCCTTTATCAATTTATGCTCCGTTATTTTATTATAATTCCTCGTCTTTAAATAAAAAAAGAAGTTTTTTCAGTATTAATTTTTGAAAAGAATAATCATTTAAGATTTTATTTAGAGAATATAACAAATCCATTTATCCTTAGAAAATCTACTCTATATAATAAGTCAAAATGAGTTAATAATAAAGGAGATAAAATCTGATAATATGATTATGTGAAGACAATAGATTGATTACCTTGATGACGAAAAATCAATACTCTTTACTTCACTTTTTATAAAGAGAAAGTATCATCAATATTGACTAATGAAAATGTCATTTCTTGATTAGCTATTTCTTTTTTGTGTTAATGTGAAGACACTCGCTTTTTTTTCTTAAATAAGTGTTGTTTTTGTTGTTATTATAAACGATATAGTCGATTGTTGGAAAGAGAGAAACAGAGAGAAAGAAAGTAAGTTGAAGGTAATATTTCGTTTTCTTATGGAGAAATACCTTTAAAGGTATAACAATCGAAAGAGCAATCTATATCTATTTCATTTTACTTTTTTTTTTTTTATTGAAAAAGACACTTGAAAATTATTGAAGAAAAAAAATGTCAAATGGAATAAAATAAAAAATATTCTAATGAAATTAAATTGTCTAGTGTTCGTTTTTTTTAGATGGCTGACGATAATCTCAATGAAGGTACATCATCACGTCCTTTTTTTGTCCATGCAGACTGTAAGTTATTCTTTATTTGTATTATTTAACCATTTGCTTTTTTTTTTATTAATTATTAGTCCCATTTGTATTTATTCCAACAAGACCACCACCACATTTCGCTTTTGATGATGATGATGACGATGATGATGATGATGATGATGTTGCTGCTGACGATTTTGATAATCATCATAAAACGAATAGCCAATTTACAAATGAGAATCAAAAACACGAAATAGAAGGTACAATAGACAACCTTGTCTTTCATCTTTTATTAAAAAAACAAAAACAATTTTTTTTTCGTCTTATGAAAACTTTAAATGAAACATGAAGAGTTTTTTTTTTATTTTTGTTAAATTTTTGTTTAGAAACAGTTGATGATGAAGTTGATAATAATGAAGAAAATGAAGATGATATAGAAGAAAAAGATAATCTTCGTATTAGTCAACCAAAATATAGTGAATTATTAAAACATCTTGATTTTAGTCATACAAGAATGGTATTTTACATATTAAATTATCATTTTATTTAGAATTTTTTTTCTTTTCTTTAGGTTGATGTTACAAATCTTTTATCTGATGATCCAAACAATTATTTTCCAGATGATGAAAATAAAGTTTCAACTGATGAAAATCTCTCATCAACACATCAATCAACTGATGAAAAATCTTCAGTCAATATCGATAATAATCAAACAAAAAACAATGAAAATTTAGAAAATAGTGATGAAAATTATTTAAATAATTTAGCAAATATTATTCAACAAGCATCGCATTTACCAACTAATAAATATGATTATGATCCGAATAATCAAGAATATATAATTATTGATCCACAAAAAAAGATTTTTTTTGAAGAAGATGATGATACCAGTAAACAGGCTACACAAAATTATGATCTTCACGATTATGAAAATGAGGTTAGTTTACACTTTTTCCTTATTCTATTCAAATATATTCGATTTATCAAAGATAAACCATTGAGTTTTTTTCAAATTAGAGACATATTATATCTGATAGATTAACGAAAAACTGTCAGACCAAGTAAGATGATATTCGATAAAATCCAACTTTCTCAATTCTCATCTTACATTAAAGAATGAAGTTATATTTATTTTTCACATAGTATCGTTTTTATTATGAATTTATTCAAGGAAAAAAATATTTACCTTCAGATATTGTTATTTTATTTTTCTTTTTTTGAAATAAGATAACACTTATCAAATATTGACAAAATAATAAAAAAACAGAGAAGTTTTTATGATTGATGAAAATTTTCTTAAAGATAAATAGAATATGAAATAAAAAGTTATTCTTAACTAATAAATCATTCTATAGAAAAACATATTTTATCATTAATTAAATATGATTAATCTTTACTTTTCAATACTAATCAACGATTTAGTCAAACGATTATTTAGTCGAACATCAACATCAGTATAATCATCATTTTTGACAACTTTTGCTTTTGTCTATATAAAATAGATTTTAGTCATAAATTTAACTAATTATCTAAAATATGATTGATGATATGTCATAACTTATCATTATCATGATTATATAGATGTCTCATGTCCATTAGAAAATCTCTTTCATCTTTCTAACTTATTCAGAGAGAATCACTATTCAAACCTTACATACGAAATCCTTGACAGCGAACCCTCTCAATTTATGTTTTTAAAGAGGGAAACCAAAATATAGTAAAAAAAATGTTTTCAACAGTTGTTATGTTTTAAAAAAGGTGCCATTGGTAAGAGCATTGCATCTTAAAATAAAATCTAATAGACAGAATAATGATCGATAAGAATTTTCAAAGTAAATCATATTAACAAAAGAATTTTATAATATCTACACCAAAACAAAAAAGTGTTTCCGTAAAAAATTAAAAATGAATAAATATATATTTACATAATATTTTCTTTTTTTTTTGTCGCGAAGCTGAGAATTGATGAATGAGTTGACATTGGTAAAAATTTGATTTGTAGAAGGCAATAGATCTATAATTGAGTTTTTATAGTTCTATCAATTATTTCTTCATTCATTTCCTTTGCATTTATTATTTTAATCTTTCGATAAATCTCTCTATTAAACTTTTCTTCTTATTTTAGTCTATTAAATTCATTAATTTGGTCTTAGATAAATGCTAATTTAAAAGTTAATTTGAGTATTATATATCAATATACTCAATAGAAAAGAAAATAAATTCAACTGACAAAATCCTTGATAAAGTTATTTTCTCTGATTAAAATCTCTTTATGATTTGCATATAAAAGAGATATAGACTCAATTAAACATATTTAAATAGGATAAAATCAATTCAAGAATTAGCATACTCATATAACTTCTCTTTATAGGAAATATCAATTTTACTTTAAAAAAAAAACAAAGGAAAATTATTCTTGAAATAAATAATTCTATAACTATTAACCTTCACTTAAAAAAGACTTTGATTACTAAAATTGAATTATAAAATAAATTGAAAAATTGATATTTTTTTCTTTTTTTCTATGATTTTAGGTTTCAGAATCATTACCAAAATCAAATAAAAATGTTCGTTCGACTAATGAAAATAGTCATGATAATGAAGAGGAAAATTTATCATCAATTCCACGTTTAAATCGAAATGAAAATAATCGTCGAGAAGTTGAAGATCAACAATCAGATAATGATTTTAATTGGAATAATTTAATCTATGGAAAAGATCGATTTAATCAACCACCAACAGCAAGAGTTATTTTATCAGAAATAATTGATGAAAATCATCGAACACCAAATAAACAAGAAAAATTATTATCTAATCAAGATAAAATAAAAGAAAATTTAAATTTTTCATCTAAAACAAAATTTGATGATTCATCAGAAACAGATTCTGTTAGTGAAAATGAATTTAATTTATCAAAAGAAAAAATAAAAGATAATTTAAAACCTCAATCCGATCAATCAATTGATGAAGATCTTGATGATTTAAATAATCATTTAAAACAAGCTCTTAATCATAAAGATCAACCATATAGAACAGCAACTGATATTTTACTTCAACGTTTATCAAATCAACAAACAGATAATATAACAAATCAATATAAAAACAAATCTCATCATATTCAACATGATGATTATATTCAATCAAAAACACATGTAAACATTTTTTAATTAAAAAAATAAAAAAACAAAAAAACATTTTTTTTTCTTTTCTTATTTTCTATAGGATATATGGTTATCTATGCTTGAAAAACTTGAACAAGAACATAAACAACGTTTAGAAAAACAACAAAAACAATATGAAGAATATATGTTTCATCTAGAAGAAAATATGAAACGACGTTTAGATCAATATTTATCATCAACTAATAGGTTCATTTTACCTTTTTTCATTTTTATTTCAAAATTTTTTTTTTTAGTGTTCAAAAATCAAAATCAGACATTTCGAATCAATCATTTCATGAACATGATACACATAGTTCACCACCGATTGATTCAAATGAGACAATCCATAGAAGTTATTCAAATTCTAATCAATATCGACCATTAGTAGATCAAATTAATAAACATAATTATCCAACAAATCATTTACTTACATCAAATACACAACAACAACCTATTCAAACAAATATATCACGATCACAATCGAGAGAAGATATTTCCAAGTCAGTTTTAACATTAACAAAAAAAAAACAACTTATCATTGTAGTCTTACATCATAAGAGCCACAACTCATCACTGAAGACAGGAGGTGCAAATTAATTCAATTCCCTAGTCGAGACTTCCTAGAAGAATCCTGGAGGAATCCCTCTCGTGAGTCCCTGAGGGAGTTAAGAGAAAATTCAGAAACTTCCCAAGGAATTGATGAGTATTATAAGGATCTCTGCAGAAGGCATTATTGAAATTCTCTGAAAAATTCAAATTCATGAAAATTTTAGAGGAACTTCTCGGGGAGTTTTATGGGGATCTTGAAATATGCAACTCTCCCGGGACTCACGACAGGGATTCTCCACAGATTTCGCATTTTTCAGGTGACTCCCCGGTGATTTCGTTGGGGAAAGTCGACTAGGGTTATAGAAAAAGTCTATTATCTAGATTATGTTAAAAAACAAAGGAGCCTTAAGATCCATGCTTCTCCTATAAATTCTGCACATTTCTTGTCAAAATGACATATTTTATATAAAACAAAGAGATAATTTAGTATAGATTTTTAATGTTATGATTTCGAATTTATAATCAGTTAACATAATAATAAAATTTAATTTTAAGGTATAGAAATATTTATTTGATAGATCACAGAAAAAGAATTTTTATTTTAAATAAATAAATAACCATAGAGAATGATGTCCATTCCGATAATAAAATTTTGTTTTATTTTCTTTCTCATAGAGAAGAGTCTAGTAAGGATAAATTGTTTGCTTGATTGTGTGTCCGCACTTCACTGATTAGTCCAAGAATAATGTCAAAACAAAAGGGGATTATTTTCCATAAAACTTTACCAAAGGTAATCGACGGTGGGGAATCGGAATCCGAGGCCAGTTTTGATTAATTTATTGTTGACTAATAATTTCCATAAAGCTTGACCAAAAATAATCGAAGGTGTAGAATCTAAATCCAAGATCAGTTTCTATTAATTAGGTCTCACAAATCGGACCTTCCACTGTTGAGAAAGGTGAAATTGACAGAAAAAGCCAACGAGAATGTGCTCATTTCACTTTTTGAAATGGTGTACATAAATAATTTGTTGAGCGTTACTTGTTTGATTGAATTAATTTATTTTGTTGGATGAACTTGTTTTTATTTAAATTGAAATATAAATTTATTTAATTGATATTAATTATTAGTTTAAGAAATGAACTTTCTACCAAACATGCAAAACATGTATCTGATTTAAAATTATATTATGAACATGAAATTGATGAACTTAAAAATCAATTAAATATATCAAGAATGGGGTATATCAATTATAGATTTAAATAAATAAATTATTTATTTATTTATCGAAATTTAGTCATCCAAATAGTAGTACTACTCGTCAATCAATTGAAACAATTGAACGAATTAATAATGAAAATATTCGTTTACATGATCATATAAAACAATTACGTCAATCATTAGTTTGGTTTTTTTTTCAAAATTTATAAATGAATCTTTTTTTTTTTCTTTTTAATTTAGAAAACAAGTGATGAAGAAAACAATTCTCTTAAACGACAATTAGAAGAATTACGTGGACAAATAAATAATAAAGATGTTGAAATAAAAAATTCTCATAAAAAATTAAATGAAATCGAACAAGAATTAAATGAAATACGTCATGTATAAAGATTTTATTTTTTATTTTATTTATTTATTAAATTTCCAATTTTATAGATAAAAGATCAACAAAATGAAAAATATGTTTATCTCGATAGACAATCATTATTCTATCAAGAAGAATATCAAAAAGTTACACGTGATCTTATTCTTACTAGAGTTAAGAATAATAATAATTATTATTTATTATATTTATATTTATTATTTAATTAATTCTATAGGAACGTCTTGCTCGTCTCGAAGAAAGTTATCGTCAATTAGAAAATCAACATAAAACATGTCGTCAACAAACATTTACAAATGAAAATAATAATCAACGGTATTAGATTTTTTTTTTCTTTTCAATAAATATATTTGTTTGATAAATTAGTATAAATCATGATACCAATTATAATTCAGCAATGTCTTTAAATATCCCAACATCAAGAGAATATGGACGTTTTACATTAATTCAATCAAAATATTCATCAGCAACAATAACAAAATCAAGAGATGAAAATATTGACTCAGGAACATATACATCAGACGGTTAAAATTCTTATATTTTTTATCTTTTTATTAATTCCGATTATTTCATTCATATAGGTTCAGATGATCTATTTCGTCATAGTAATTCTCGTCGACCTGTAGACAACATAAGTGATTTTGTTAGTGAACAAGATTGTTTTCCCCACGTTCATGTTCAATCATCAAGTATGAAAATAAAAGAATATATTATTTAATTTAATATTATCTTATAAAATATTTTTTAGGACCTTTTTACTCTTCGAACAAATTGTCACCAAATGGTCATCGTAGTATCGATCAAATGCCAGTTCGAGTAAATATTTTATTTTGAATAAATAAAATAAAAAGTTAATTAAATATATTTATTTTATTTGAAAAGGATTTTAGTGATAATAAAATAAAAGAAAGTGAAAAATTAGAATCAAAATTTGATGAATTATTAAATAAAAAACGTGATTTAGAGTCTCGTATAAATCGTATACCAATTCGAGGATTAACAACAACTGATAGACAATTACTTGATGTTCTTGAACGAGAAATTCAACGTGTTGAACAACAAATATCAAGTGTTAAACTTGAACTTCGAAAAATGAATATTTTACCAACATATTAATTTTAATTCATTACATGTTATGCCATTATAATTCGAGTGCTAAAATATAAATCTGTTACTTGTCTTTTCATTGCTGTTGCTTGGCTTTTTTTTTAACTCGCTATGTGAATCGCTTTTTTTTTGTTTTTTCTTGGAAACAAATTCGTGAATTTTAACATGTGTATTTTTTTTTCTTAAATTGTTCTTAAATATATAAGCAATTTGATTCTTATTCTGTCTTCAGATAAAATTCTATGGCATTATCAACATCATTATGGGAATCATCTATAATCCATGAAATTGACAATGATTTTTTTCGTTCACAAGAAAAAAAACAAATAGAAAATGCTTATAAAAATTTTCTAATAAATACAAAATGTCTTTCATATGATAAAGATGATGATGATTCAGACGATGAAGAAAATATTCTAATGTTCTTACAATCAAAAATTCAATTATTTCAATTATTTATTCGTACACAACCGGTTAATATTCGTAGTTTTAGGTTTTATTTTAATATAAAAAAAAATTTTATTTCAACAAAAAAAAAAACATTTTTTTTTTATGTTTAGTCAATATCATCAAGAAAAAGAACGTGTTTTTATTGAACGTTTATTTTATCTTGTTTTAAATAATGTTGAATTAACACATTTTTCAACATATAATGTTGATTCAATAATAAATATAAGTAAAGAATTAGAAAAATATCAACGTTCAACAAATAAAATTATATTAAATACTGGAAAACTTAATACAATTATTCAATTTGTTTTATCATTTTCATCATCAACAGTTCCTACATTTCAATTAAATAATCTTTTTTATTTACTATTAAATGATATCAACGATTTTTCAAGTAAAATTATTGATAGAATTGCTGAATTATTACGTATATATCATTTAATGACATATGGACATATCATTACAAGACAATATTTAGTTTCAACAGTAAGGACATTTATTTTACATTTTTTTTCAAAGTATCACTGGCGTTCAATGTAATCTGTCTTAGAAAATCAGTTTCGATAAAAAAAAAGAAAGTATACCATTATCGAAAAATCTTATCTTAAAATAAAATAAAACATGTTAAATGAATTATATTCGAAGTGCTTTAGACTGAAAGATTCATTTCAAAAGAAATTTCTCAAGGTGTTACATTGATAAATAAGACTAATTATTTTAGTTTTTTTTTTTTTATTGATATAGATTGATAATGCAATCAGTACTGCTAATTATGCTAATCCCGTTATTTATCCATTATATGAAAATTTTCTGAATACATCCTATGTTTATAAAGGTCCATTTATAGTAACATCATCAAGAAATTCATCAAAATTGACATCACGTATATCACTTTATACAATAATTCAAAATTTATCAATTCTTTTATTGGGTCTTAAAATAGATGATTTTGAATATGAAGATAAATATCTTTCAATATCATCTGAACATTGTTATCATATACGTTTAGTTATACGTCGTTTAACATATTTATTTAAAAAATATAATTATTCTATTGAATATCCATTAGAAAATATTGATAAACAAATAATTATTTATTTAATTAAATCAATTATTCTACATGAAAAAACTTTTGATCAATTACAACGTTTACTTGATTTATATATGTTATCAATACATGGATTTTCTCAAACAAAAATAAAACGTCTTCTATATGATTTATTAATAAATTCTTCATTTGAACATTATACAATTGAAACAATAAGATATTTTATTGAATTAAATCATATTGATGATGATCAATCAGAAACAATATCAATTATTGATTATGATCAGAATTATATTCAAGATGATTTATGGCTTAATGATCAACAAATTCGACTTGTTACACATAAATTATATTCAAATCAAATTTATAAAGAAATTTTTATTCCATTTATTAATGGAGATTATCAGCAACAACAAACTATTCAACATATTTTAACTTATTTAGATAATATACAATTAGAACAGGAACAACCCATCGATATTCAACATATGAAAACAAAATTGGCTATTTTTCCATGAATCTATTATTTTATATTGTTTCATGATGACATGAAACTCAGGGTTAATGTTTTGTAGATACAGTGTGTATGTCTGGGGGATGTTTTGTTATATTATTAATTTAACTAAAGTACAAAAAAAAAAACTAATGAATATTTAAATGACTTTGTTTTAACATGTAATCGTATAGAAAAATAATTATTCGATATAAGTTAAATTGAAATAAGATTATTTTATTTCTTTTAGATAAAAAATCTTATTTAGACAGGTGAATTTCAAGTTCTAGCAAGTTTTTATTTTTATCTATTTTAATGACAACTATTCATCATTTTTTTAATTAAGATTTGATCGATCAAAAATAATTTCACTATTCCAGAAAAACATATAGAAATCAATTCATTCTTGTAGAAGTTTTAAATATGATTTGTAGATAAGTGTGATCTGTACTTATCTAATTAATAGAAATCGAATTTATTGAAAACTTCTTTTTTTTCTTTCCAATGAGAATAAGTTGTACCTGTTGATCTTTCAATGATAATTATATTGTTCCAGTCATAAATGTGTGTGTTTGGTAGAGACAAAAAAAAATAATCTGATCATAAAAAAGAAAATAATCGTTTCATTTCATTTATTTACTATAGATAGGAGTAAAAAGAGAAAATTAACGTTTAGATATTTCAATGTAACTTGAGAAGATTAATTAGAATTGATTCAATTCTATGAATTACAAGTGGGATTAAATAAAATATATGAAAAATCTTTTAAAGTTAAATTTATTTATTATATTTAAAGATATTTATAGTTTATCTTTAGTTTGAATATGTTTAGTTTCCTTATCTTTGACTCATTCTTTTCACTTTCATATTCTTGACTTCACTATTTTTTATCTTTCAGTTATAAATGACTTTCACCTTTATATTGGACCTCAAAAGCCACTTTAACCAATTGATTTTTTTAAAATTTTACAATCATTTATGTAATTTCTACATATATGAATATCTTATTAATAACAAAGTCTAATAGACTTCATTGAAATTAATCATATTGTTATTTCATTTATTTCTCTCTTTCGAGATCTTACCACAAAAACATCAATGTTTCCGATATATCTTCAGTGTTTTCTCTGTTGTCGTCTGATTATTTTATTCTTCTTGAAATACACAATCCACTAGTCTCGATTATGATGCCAAATGTACTTAGACCCAGAAGAAAAAAAAAAGACGAGAAAAAAGATCGGCCGACACTCGTGATGATATAGCGATGATAATAGTGGTTTTTCTTTTCATACCTTAACACATTCTTATCATTTTTTTAATACCTTTATTACGTTGGAAAAATCTAGATTCCTGATCTAATTCTAGAATTTGTCTATTCAGTTAATGACAAATAATTGCGTCTTTTTTCTTCAGTTACTTTAGTTACCATAAACAAACGCCTTCAGATTTGCGTAATAGACAATTTCATGACGTCAGATTTATTTATTCTTTATTTTATCACTAATAAAATATGACATGACGATGATTATTAGAACAAAATGAATAGAGAAGGAAAGAAAGCCCTATATTTATTATATAATATATTTTTAAAAAACCATAGAATTTTGTCAATATTCTTTCTTTTTCTTTTTCTTTTTTTTGTTTTCGAAGAGTATGACAAAGACATGCACCAAACTTTTTCCTACATGAATAAGAAAGAAGAATAAATGACCTATAGTCGATGCACTTTTATGTTGTAGTGCTGTCAAGAACAACATATATAAATAATAACAACAACAACATTAGTTGTTCGACCACAAAGACGAAACATAACGCATCTTTTTTTAGCGTCGTAGAAAGAAAAAAAAATGGAAGAGGGTTGTTGACAAGAACGTGACACTTTCTCAACGGAAAAAGAAAGAAACTACGCGATCGAGTATGAAGGAAAAAAAATAAGGGTAACAAGGGAAAAAGAGAAGCATCAGATCACATGAGATGCGAAGCCAACTATTTCATTCATCGTCACGCGGTAGTAGAATGGTTATAGCGTCATAGTTCTAATCATCACGAGGGCAAAACATCCGATACACATATACAATGATAAGACTGTAAGAGTACACTTTTTTATTCATTTCAGCCTTTTTCTCTTTCGCTTATTTTTAACTTGTCTGCCAAAACAGGACAGACATTATTATGTCATGTGCTTCAAACTTCCTTTCTTTCGATTACTTATGCATATTACGTAATATGAAAAATTTGTTCGTGTTTTCTTTTTTTACTTATCGTCATAGTTTAGATCGCGAACATGATATTTCACGGTTTTTTTTTTGCTAAATGATACAGAAAATTCAATTAATTTTGAAGAATATTAAAATATATTTTAGGTCGACATAGACCCTATATATATATCAAAGAACTATTTTCGTATATTCTTCTGTAAATAAACAATCATTCAATATAAAGACTTTTGTACATACGAATATATGGCTTATGAACGACGACGTTTATCCACTGAAAGTGATAAATCTTCAACGAGTACAAATCATTCAAATGAGTCAACTAAAAATGATCGAAATCTTGTTCATCCAATAAATCCAAATGAAGAAAAATTATCAATAACAACATCAAAAAAATCCTCTAATACAGATACAACAAAACATTATCCAACAAAACGAAGTTCAACAATGTCATCACCTGCTGAACAAATTTTAGCACGCACAAAAAATACATTTGTTGATTTAAATCCATATTTTCAATGTTCATCGTTACCAAGGTAAAATAAAAACAAAAAAAAAAAAAATTTTGTTTTAAATAAAATTTGTGTTTTTTTTTTCTTTTTGTATTAGTCATTGGCGAAAAAATAAATCTCTTCGTTTTATATTACGAACAAAAAGTGATATCGAAGTAAAAGCAAATACACGTGTTGTTATTCTTGCTGGTAATGATTATAATCCATGTGCAACACTCAAAAATAATATCAGTTGGTTTCGTGGTGGTCAAGCAGAATTTAATGATTTAAGATTTTTGGGTGCTAGTGGA